GAATTTAAAACAAAATATGTAAATTTTGCAGAGTAAAAATTATTTAAAAAGAATAGTAAATTAGTGAAAAGAAAATAAACAGAAAATTGGAAGAAACAGAAAACTTTTTAACATAACTTGAAAAATTAACAAGTGCAAATAAACAACAACAATAATATTTTTAATGCATTCTTAAATGAATGAGTATTTGTTAATTGTTTTAAAATAATTTTTCAAAAATTAAAAAGAAATATTATTACTTAAAAACTTTATTTTCTTATAAAAATCTTTAAAAATAAATAAGAATGTGATGAAAAGAAAACTATTTACTTTCTAATTTAACTTTCTGCTTCTATTCTGTTTTTCAAATATCAATATGTAACTAGTTCGAACACCATTATTCTCTAGGAATTATCACATCCACAGATTCCAAAAATACTAGCCAATTAACAACTTTATTTTACCTTTTACCCAGATGCATTTTGGAAATTACAATATTTCCCTCCTCAGTGGGTTCTCTTTCAAACAGCCAAATGAAAAACAAACTTTTTTTAATACTCTTACACAATATTTCAATATTTCAAATGTTATTTTTTTTTTATTTCCATAATAAAATCATTTTTTACTGTGTTCTTTTCTTTAACATACACATTCTGCACAGTCCTTGCCATCATCACATTCATTCTTTGTCTCTCCTAATGAATATTTCAAAATTCCAAATTATTTTATGTTTAATAATAGTATTATACATTTTGCAAAATTTTTTGAATCGCATATGTGTTATCTTTATACCCAGACTTATTCTGAGTGTTGTTATGAGTATCTGGTAACACAACAGAACATATTTTTAATAAAGACAGAATTAATGAATTTTGTTTTATTTCATTATATTTTATGTTCAATCCTTTATTTCATCTACAAAAAATTATAAATAAATGCAGAAATTAGTTAAAGATTTGTTACTTTATTAAGATTGATTACTAATTTTTTAAAATCTTCATTGATTCAGTGAGGTAAGGACAAACTATTTGCAGAAATTTTGTATTAGCAGTAGAACGTTCTTAAATATGAAGGAATAAAGGAAACAATCATAAACAAATTATTTTTTCCAATAATAATAACAGACAGTCTTATGGGAAAATCGTTAACACATCAATTTAATGAAGATACATAAATTTTCAATTGTTTATGAAGATACATTTAATTGATGTTAACACATCAATTAAATGTATCTTCATAAACAAAACAAATATTATATTATTATTAAAGTATTAATAATGAAGTAAAAAATCTGTAAATTATTCTATGTAAAATATTCAAACAAAAATACAAATGTTTAGAAAAATTTTTAAGCAATACTTTTTGAAGATGATTAGTTGAAAAACCTCAAGATTTTATTAAATATTTTTATATTGAAAAAATATTTAAAAACTTCAATTTAATTTTCTTACTTTTAATGATAGAAACATTAGAGTGCAAATTTAAACTCTGTTTTATGTCTTCAAATTTTTTGTCATGTTTACATTCATTGGCATTATTTTAATTTTAAATTTTTATTTATTCAGGTAAAAGCTGAAGAAATATAGCCTGAAAAACTTTTATTTTTTTTAATAACTTTTCAGTTTAGTTGCCTTAATTATTAGCAGTTTGCTTGCATTTTTACATAATGGTGCTCAGATTTGTCCCTTTTAAAAAGTAATGTTGATCTCCAGCACATACAACACACATATGCACATTTATGTATATTGTTTATTGAAAAATTATTATAGTCTTATTTAAAATGTATGTAAAAAATAAATCTCTTTGTTTTTATATTGTTTACTCTTAAATTTTTTGGTTCATTTTAATTTAGACAATTGTTTTTTATTTTTTAATCATGTTTTAAGATTATAATTTTTTTCACAATTATATTATATTCAAAAGTTTATTTTTTAGGTTTATTTTGTTATATTTATTATAAATAAAAATTCTAACTTTAAATTTTAAGGATTCTTTTTTTATGAAATTGTTTTGTTTAATTTGAGAAACAAAACTAGAGTTTATAACTTACTATAATTATTATCTATCTGTTAGTTAATGCTTTTTACTAAGTTTTGTGTTAATTGAAATTGTTATTGTTTAGCAATTATACTTTAATATAATTATATTAAAATTTAATTCAAATACATTTAGTTTTAATTTTAAAATTAATTATAATTATTTCGTTATAAAATCTAGTTTTATTTATTTTTTTTTATAAATTTTACTTAGGAAGATGAAATATTAGATTCACAGAATTGTTTATCATTATCATATGTTAAAAAGATAATAATTTGTTTTTGTTGAGAATATGATTGTAGTGCATGAAGGGATAAATGAACATGATTTTTTTTTATTAATTAATCAAATAAAAAATATTTTTGCTGTGTATAATGATATAGTTATTTTTGTAATTTTCAGTATATTTTTTAAAATTTAAATAATAAAAATCTTAATCTTTGTATATTTTAATATATAATTTATTATTGTTATATTTCCTTTATATGCTGCTCTTCAAATTAGGTCCTGACAGTTTCTTTGGTAAGCCACCCTTAATATTTCTAGCATGTCTGTCATTTTCTGGGTGGTGGTAACAATTTATAATAATAATTATCATAATTATTACTAAAAAAAATTTGCATGTTTATATCTTTTATTTAACTAATTGATATTAATTAGTTTAATTTAAAATAAATTCTGACTCTTCTGGTTATGAAATATATAATCATGTGCTGTATGTGTTTGTATACAGTAGTTCTTAATTTAAATTTTGTTACTTAAAAAAATTTTAAATTTCTATGNAGAATGTGATGAAAAGAAAACTATTTACTTTCTAATTTAACTTTCTGCTTCTATTCTGTTTTTCAAATATCAATATGTAACTAGTTCGAACACCATTATTCTCTAGGAATTATCACATCCACAGATTCCAAAAATACTAGCCAATTAACAACTTTATTTTACCTTTTACCCAGATGCATTTTGGAAATTACAATATTTCCCTCCTCAGTGGGTTCTCTTTCAAACAGCCAAATGAAAAACAAACTTTTTTTAATACTCTTACACAATATTTCAATATTTCAAATGTTATTTTTTTTTTATTTCCATAATAAAATCATTTTTTACTGTGTTCTTTTCTTTAACATACACATTCTGCACAGTCCTTGCCATCATCACATTCATTCTTTGTCTCTCCTAATGAATATTTCAAAATTCCAAATTATTTTATGTTTAATAATAGTATTATACATTTTGCAAAATTTTTTGAATCGCATATGTGTTATCTTTATACCCAGACTTATTCTGAGTGTTGTTATGAGTATCTGGTAACACAACAGAACATATTTTTAATAAAGACAGAATTAATGAATTTTGTTTTATTTCATTATATTTTATGTTCAATCCTTTATTTCATCTACAAAAAATTATAAATAAATGCAGAAATTAGTTAAAGATTTGTTACTTTATTAAGATTGATTACTAATTTTTTAAAATCTTCATTGATTCAGTGAGGTAAGGACAAACTATTTGCAGAAATTTTGTATTAGCAGTAGAACGTTCTTAAATATGAAGGAATAAAGGAAACAATCATAAACAAATTATTTTTTCCAATAATAATAACAGACAGTCTTATGGGAAAATCGTTAACACATCAATTTAATGAAGATACATAAATTTTCAATTGTTTATGAAGATACATTTAATTGATGTTAACACATCAATTAAATGTATCTTCATAAACAAAACAAATATTATATTATTATTAAAGTATTAATAATGAAGTAAAAAATCTGTAAATTATTCTATGTAAAATATTCAAACAAAAATACAAATGTTTAGAAAAATTTTTAAGCAATACTTTTTGAAGATGATTAGTTGAAAAACCTCAAGATTTTATTAAATATTTTTATATTGAAAAAATATTTAAAAACTTCAATTTAATTTTCTTACTTTTAATGATAGAAACATTAGAGTGCAAATTTAAACTCTGTTTTATGTCTTCAAATTTTTTGTCATGTTTACATTCATTGGCATTATTTTAATTTTAAATTTTTATTTATTCAGGTAAAAGCTGAAGAAATATAGCCTGAAAAACTTTTATTTTTTTTAATAACTTTTCAGTTTAGTTGCCTTAATTATTAGCAGTTTGCTTGCATTTTTACATAATGGTGCTCAGATTTGTCCCTTTTAAAAAGTAATGTTGATCTCCAGCACATACAACACACATATGCACATTTATGTATATTGTTTATTGAAAAATTATTATAGTCTTATTTAAAATGTATGTAAAAAATAAATCTCTTTGTTTTTATATTGTTTACTCTTAAATTTTTTGGTTCATTTTAATTTAGACAATTGTTTTTTATTTTTTAATCATGTTTTAAGATTATAATTTTTTTCACAATTATATTATATTCAAAAGTTTATTTTTTAGGTTTATTTTGTTATATTTATTATAAATAAAAATTCTAACTTTAAATTTTAAGGATTCTTTTTTTATGAAATTGTTTTGTTTAATTTGAGAAACAAAACTAGAGTTTATAACTTACTATAATTATTATCTATCTGTTAGTTAATGCTTTTTACTAAGTTTTGTGTTAATTGAAATTGTTATTGTTTAGCAATTATACTTTAATATAATTATATTAAAATTTAATTCAAATACATTTAGTTTTAATTTTAAAATTAATTATAATTATTTCGTTATAAAATCTAGTTTTATTTATTTTTTTTTATAAATTTTACTTAGGAAGATGAAATATTAGATTCACAGAATTGTTTATCATTATCATATGTTAAAAAGATAATAATTTGTTTTTGTTGAGAATATGATTGTAGTGCATGAAGGGATAAATGAACATGATTTTTTTTTATTAATTAATCAAATAAAAAATATTTTTGCTGTGTATAATGATATAGTTATTTTTGTAATTTTCAGTATATTTTTTAAAATTTAAATAATAAAAATCTTAATCTTTGTATATTTTAATATATAATTTATTATTGTTATATTTCCTTTATATGCTGCTCTTCAAATTAGGTCCTGACAGTTTCTTTGGTAAGCCACCCTTAATATTTCTAGCATGTCTGTCATTTTCTGGGTGGTGGTAACAATTTATAATAATAATTATCATAATTATTACTAAAAAAAATTTGCATGTTTATATCTTTTATTTAACTAATTGATATTAATTAGTTTAATTTAAAATAAATTCTGACTCTTCTGGTTATGAAATATATAATCATGTGCTGTATGTGTTTGTATACAGTAGTTCTTAATTTAAATTTTGTTACTTAAAAAAATTTTAAATTTCTATGAATTCAGTTGTCTCAATTATTTAATTAAAAAATAATTTTTATATTTCCGTTCTTATTAAAACTATTTTTCATTTTATATTTAAAGTATTTTACTCATTATTTTTTGGCTAAATGCAATTAATTTTTATGCTGCTAACCTAGCAAGCCAATGTGTAATCCCTTAAGCCAAACAGAGCTGAACAGTATACACAAAATATATCAATGACACTACTATCTTTTTCCAGAGAGAACATTGTTTTTACAAGAATTTTAACTTGCAATCATTATAATCTTTATTAAATTGTACAAAAATGGCAAAGATAAAAATAAATTTATTTATGTGCCCATAATTACTGTAATTTTGCAGATTGGCTGGCATGCTGGAAATCCTGGGGTTATCAGCATGCCATTAAAAATTAAAATTAATCAGATCTAATAAAACTAGTTGTTAAAAGAATGTTTTCTTTAATATTTATTTGAGTACCTAGCGAAAAAACCAATAGGCCCAGGCCGTCCAAGTGGAGGCCTGTGTTTACTAATTAAAAAAGGTCTTTGTAAAATTCTACAGACAAAAAAATCTAACAACTTCATTCTGCTTCTTATTCAATTCATGAAACCAACTCTAAATAATACTACGAATAACCTAATAAATCTGATGCTCATATATATTCCACCTGAAGACATATCAACATTGAATGAAATATCTAAACAAATAGAACTTTGGCATTATATGACTCCTTACTACATATTAGTCGGCGACTTCAACGCGAGAATTGCAGAGAAAATGGACTCTAAATATACTGGTAATAACTTTTTAATACAAAATATCCGTCAATCAAAAGATAAGCACTTAAATAACCTCGGTCAAAAGCTAATTGAAATAATAAAAAATCTCAAAATGTATATAATTAATGGACGGCTTAAGAACGATATTCCTGCAGAATATACTTGTCTAACTCACAATGGAAGATCAACTATTGATTACACGATATGTTCAGAATTGTTATTGGATTATTGCTTGAGATTTGATGTTCTTGATTTTGATATTTCGGATCACCTTCCTACAAAAACAACTTTTTTATTCTTCTTGGAAAAAAATTCTAAAAATACCTTGGATAAAAAAATAAGTATACAATATAAATCAAATAGATACGCTAATGAATTTGAAAACCGATTTGATAACATCCCGAAAATTACAGAATGCAACAGCGACGAAATATATAACTTAATGATAAATATAATGAATAATTACATAATTGTGGATAGCGACAGAAAGAAACTTCACAAAGAATCTGGACAGGGATGGTTCGATTACGACTGCTACAATATGAAAAAGGAAAAACTAGCAAAACTAAAAACGTTCAGAAAAAATTCAAATGAAATCAACTTTAACAAATATAAGGAAGCTAAACGAACGTATAACAACTTAATTAAGACAAAAAAGAAAAATTATTTTAGAAAGCTCGAACTAAATCTAATTCAATATAATAAGGACAATAAATTTTTTTGGTCCACTGTAAGGAAATACCGACCTAAACCTTGTATAAATGAAATCTCTCCAATTATTGACTTCGATACCTGGAAAAATTTTTTTCAACGTTATCCAAGTATTTACTTAAAACCTCCAACAATAAATAATGCAAAAGCTTATGACGAACATCTAGATGCTGACTTTACAATTGAAGAATTAAATGATGCAATTCAAAAAACCAAAAGCCACACAACTCCAGGTCATGATAATATTCCTACGAAATTTTTAAAATCAATGTCTAACAGCTCTAGATCAAAATTACTTCATTTATATAATATTATGTACAAAACATCTACTTTTCCCGAATCTTGGAATACAGTTAA